AAGTGTATCCACCTAGCTACAGACTTCCATTAACAAGGCTTTTGTAACATCCCCAGTGATGCGAGGCTGCATACGGGTGGGACAGCCTGCTCCATCGTGGCACAGAAGCTTTGGTCAGAACAGCACTGCCCAACAAAAAGATACTGCAAGCCACGTGTGATTCTAAATTTTCAAGAAGCCACAGGAAAAAAGTATAAAGGAACAGGTGACACTAACTGTAATAATATATATTAAATAATATATATTAAATGAATCTAAATTTATCAGTTCTATTGAGAAACTGATTGAGACAGTTTACATTTTTTTAAATTAAATCTTTGAAATCCAGGCTAGCCACATTGCAAGTGCTCACTTGACTAGTGCCCACCCGACTAGAGAGCACAGGGTCTGAAGACTCTTCTTCAGGCCAACCTGAGCTTTTCCAGCCTGAGCCTCTTCCCCATGGTCCTTGGATTCAAGGCACAGTAAATGGATGCGTAACTCAGACACCATGCCCAAGGATGAGTTCTGTTTGGCTATGTCCTTGCATATGTCCATCAAGCGGCCCCTCAGGGAGCTCAACCCTCTGACCAGGATCTGCTGAGGTCTGTTCCCCTTTGCAAAGGGCTTTCCCAACTTGAAAGTGCTATATCAATGAAAGACCTCAGTCTCCTGACACTCAGTGAGGCAAACTTAGAGGGACGGAGTGTTCATGGTCTCTTCATACTGCTATTTTGTACTGACCCACAGGTAGCTGCTAAAACATGTCCAGCCTGGGGCAACTTCTTTCTCCTCCCTGGGCCTCAGTTTCCCCATCTGTCAAAAAACAGCTTTGAGTTTTCTATGATTCAGCCTCTTTCTGCTTCTTCTTATCCACCCCACTCTCTTCACCTACCTATGAAATTTTCTTTTAAACCAGCACTTAAATTCAAATTCAGGAAATAGAATATCCTCCCATATAAATCATCATAATAAGTGTTTCTGGAGTGTTTACCATGTGTCAGGCACTGTGATAAGAGCTTTATATAGCATCTCATTTAATCCTCTCCACACCCCAGTGAAGTAAACACTACTATTACTCCCTCTCATAATTGTGGGAACTGAGGTACTGAGGTTGAGTCAGAAGTCACTCACCTCATAAAGGGGAATAGCTGGGGACTCCCGTCCAGGGCCTTCTCTGTCCATGACCCTAGGCTGTGAATTAATCTCTAGGACTGGCCCCTGAGCTGGGCCCAGGCCTTTGATTACTAATGAGGGACAGGGGCTCAGGAAAACAAAACCCACAGAGTATCCTCCTTCTATTTTGTGCACGCACACACCACACACACACACACACACACACACATACACACACAATAGTGTTATACTTTCCTTGCCAAGGAAATCCTACTCTTCACAAGACTTTCTTCCCAACCCCTTGACCTTTCAGGAAAGGGGCTGAGGACCCTGGGAAGGCTCTGGAGGAGACCGGAGGAGCTCAGTGTCCCCAGTCTAGGACGGATATTTTTAGAGCTGGCCACACTGTTTACAAGGAAGCCGGTCCCCTGCGCCTGCCCTCTCCCTACAGGGAAACACTGGCCACCAGCTCCTCCCACCGCCCAGACTCCCGCCAGCCCTTCCTTCCTCCCTCCTGGCTGCTCCTTTCCTGTCATCTCTATCAATCAGCACATGGTGCACTGTCATTCTCGCCCTGAGAGCCTCCTGGGAGGCCAGCTGTGCCCTGGCACTGGAGAAGAGCAGGATGTTGCCATGAGTGAAGAAATGGCCCTGGCAGCGGGCAATGGGCTGGGAGTCCTGTAATAGGCATCTCTCTGGAGCAGTTATGGAAGCTCACTCTCTGTGCCTTCTGAGCAAAGGCCTGGGAGCCTCGGAGAGCACGGGAGTGGCGGATGAAGAGGCACAGGGCAGGTGGGAGGCTCAGCTCTGCCTGCTGCTCTCACCATGTGCCACACTCTCTACTGTGACAAGTTGCTCATCTTCCTGAGCCTCCCTTTCTGCAGCTGGAGAGCGAGGAGGCTTTGAATAGTGCCGGCTCTGCATGCAATGCCTGTCTGAGCCTCCTCTATCATTAGGTGAGAATACTTGGGCCTCACTCATGGGGGGTGACAGTGGGTATTAAATAGGACAGTAAGGGAAATCCCTGGCACACAGTGGGCATGCAAGTCATAGGACCATTGGTAATCATTTCCATAGGCACAAAGGAAGTTCTCCACCGGGAATGCTCTCCTTATTCTTATAGCTCAGGGCTCTTTCACCTTTAAGTCTACACAAAATCTCTCCTCCAGCTATGCACTCTTTAAAATTAAGTATTTATGCCTTCTCTCCAGCCCTGCAGGCCGGTCCCGCCGTGGTCAGGAGCCTGGTAGCAGACCGCAGAGGCCCCTTCTCTGAGTCACAGCTCTGTGGCTTCCCGGGCAGGCTGCACACCTGGACCCACCCCACTAGCTCTTGAGAAACATCATCCAGACCCAGAGCAACTGGACCTGATCCGGGTAAGCTAGTCTTCTCAGGGTCTGGCCCCAAGCTAGCAGGCTGGGTAGGAAACTGGACCCAGGCAGCCCAGCCCCCACCCAAGCTTTCCCAGATGTGGAAAGCCTGCAAGGGCTCCAAGCTCCTCAGAGGAAGTGCCTTCCCACTCTGTCCCGTGGGCAGGCTGGACTTCTCCAGAGACTGAAAGAGGTTCAGGGATTGATATCAGAGGCACTAAATCCCCACCAATGCATCCTCCCCCTGCCTCCGTCTCCCGCCTCCTGTTTCCCACTTCCTCTCCCCAGCCCTTTTCCTTCCCCTCCTCCACTTCCTCCGCCTCGTCTTCCTCATATCCACCCTCCTCGTCCTCCTCCTCCTGCTCTCCCCCACAGCTGTGCTTTTGACCCAACTGAGAGCCTACTATATTCCCAAGAGGGAAGTCCCAGCAGAGGGGAGAGAGACTGACTTCCTGTGGTCTGTGTCTCTGCATCTTAGTCCACAAAGGTGTCCTAGTGGCCTCTGATGTGCCAGGCACTGGCCAACAACTCAACTACTCAGAGGCATGGGCAGGGCCAATTAGCCTGGTGGACGGGGGCCAGGGCAGCACTCCTGATTGGTTGAGGAAGCTTTGACCACCTCCTCTACTGTCTCAAGGTCCTGTGTTCACACTCTTTTTAGTGCCATGTAATATGTTACCTGAACCTTAATTAGAAGGGGACACTTCAGGAGAAGGTAGTATGGAACGAGGTGCTCCTTTTCTCCCCATCCCCTGCTCACTAAACAACAGAAACTGCATGTTTAATGGGGCACAGCCTGAACAGGTAGCAGTGCCACCCAGTGAAGGCTAAAGGCAGACTGACCACAGCAAGGACATGGAGGCTGGGCTGAGAAAGGAGAGAACAGCAGCAGGGACACCTCATGGGAAACCACTCTTCTGGTCCCACGGCACCGCCTTTATCCCTGATCCCTCCTTCTAACTCACCCTTGACCTGAGGAACCTGAAGAGTTCCCAGGGATGTGCTCGTTCCCAAGCCTCCTCACCTGCTTTCTGTCTTTTACTAGATGGGTGGATTTAGGCAAGTCCTTTAGCCTATGTGGCTTTATTTTCTTCATCTGTGACTCAGAGAAAGTGTGTGTGTGTGTGTGTGTGTGTGTGTGTGTACATTCGCAAATGCGCACAAACCAAGAGTTGTTATGACACTTAAATAAATAAGACGCTGTGGAAGGAAGCCCTTTAGAAAGCACAGGCAGTTCCCTATCTCTCCTCACCCTCAGCTGCTATTCTCATTCCAAGAGGGGAAATCCTCACCCGGAAAACCGTGTTCACACTGGCGCAGGTCCCAGGGCGTGCGCCCTGCGGAGCCTGGGTCTCTCCCTTTCCATTTCCCTTGTTGACTTCCAGTGACTGTTGTTGGCTCACAGACGGACAAGCAGTTCTCTAGAACTTGCCCAGCTGCCAGGCTAATGTCTCACCTTGGCTCCCTGGGGGACAGTCTGCTCAGGTAGACTATTTAATGAAGGAAGAATTATGATTAGAAAATGCCAGGTGTCATAGTGATCATTGGATTCTACCATGGGGGAGAGTAATGAACTTGGAGTTCCTATAATACACAGGGAGTATGCTGGCTACCCGAGCTACAGACCTGGGTGAAAGGGGGCCCTGGCCTTCAGGAGCTCACAGCAGAGGAAGAGATAGATACACAGACAGGGAAAGACAACACAATGTGCCATGGATTAAGGAGCTGCACTTAGAGAGGCACCCCCAAGTCCTCTAGCACTTACCAACCTGAAGTTATATTGTTATTTAATTACTAGAGACCCAGTGCAAAAATTCATGGGGGGGGGGAGGGTTGTCCCTCAGCCTGGCCTGCACTTTCTCCAATCTGGGATCCCTGTGGGGGATCCCACAGGGATCAGGCCTAAACCAGCAGTCGGACAGCCCTCTCACAACCCAGGACTGCTGGCTCCTAACCGCTCACCTGCCTGCCTGCCTGATCGCCCCCTAACCATGCCCCTGCCAGCCTGATTGACACCTAACTGCTCCCCTGCCGGCCTGATGGCCCCCAACTGCCCTCCCCTGCCAGCCATCTTGTGGTGGCCATCTTGTGGCGGCCATCTTGTGATGATGTCGCTGCAGCCATCTTGTGACAACATTGCGCGATGCCACCTAGGCTTTTATTATATAGGATTTGTACTCTGTATTCCCACAACAGTATAAACTCTAAAAAGGCAAGACATGAGAAGGTCCTATCCTGTGTGTCCAGCTTCTTCACCTGTTAGCCTTCACTGGTTGGCACCACTACTAGTTCAGGCTTTGCCCCATTAAACATACTCTCACACATAGTAGGTGCTCACTTAAGAAGTATTTGTGAATGAGTGCATGGCTTGAGGAAGCACAGAGGGTTGTGGCTGCTTAGCCCAGTAGAGGGTAGGGGTCACAAAAGACTTCCTGGAGGAAGAGGCTTGGCCAGGAGCATGGTGTTCCAAACTTTGCCCTCCTTCAACATTCCCTAGTTCACGACTTCCTTACCAGTCAGTGAGGTCACACTCACTTTATGAATGAAGAAAAAATCTCAGAGAAGGGGAATCAGCTTGGTGAAGTACACTCGGCTGGCAGAGGAAAGACTTGATCTCAGTTCTCCTAAGTCGAAAGCCTGTGCCTTCTCCACATAGGCCTGTAAAACCATTCAAGAAGAGACTAAGTCCAGAAGACAGATCATCATCACCAGCATTAACAATGAACTCCATCAACATCATCATTTTTATGGCAGCCAAATTTCAATGAGTGCTCACTCTATGCCAGGCACCTTTCTATTTCTAAGAACCCTATACTTGTTAACTCAGCTATACATACAAAACCCTAATATGCAAATATACCAAACGGCAGAACAACCGAACAGTGTGCTGACCACCAGGGGGTGTCGGCCATGGTGGGATGGTGGAGCAGGTGAGTGGGGGCGCTGACCAAGGTTGGGCACCGGTCGCTGTCATCAGGGCGAGCCTCTGGTGGTTACTGAAAATTCTTTGCTCCCGCATGCTGCAGTCCTGCCTGGTGCTCGCACCTGCTGCCAGCACCCGGCACCGACCCTGACCACTCGGCGCCATCAGCGGGTGCAAGCAGTGCTGCCAGCCCTAATCGTCCCTCATGGCTTCTCCACCTCACCCTGCTCCTGAGGGGTGATCGGGGCTGGCAGCCACCTCGTGTACCCACTGCCAGCAACAGCCCCGCTCGCACCCGCTGCAGGTATAGGAGCCACTGCTCACACCCACTACCAGCACCCAGCGCCAGGCCCAATCATTAGGCACCATCAGCGGGTGTGAGCAGAGCTGGCACCATCAGTGCGTGGGAGTGGCAGTGGTGGGATCGGGGCTGCCGGCAGAGAGGGGACTGGGGGCCATGGTGGGAGGGGCTGGGCAGGGGAACAGAGGATGGGCTGAGACCCACCCCTGTGCCCACCACAGCCCACAATTCCTTTCAAGGTGCACGAATTCGTGCACTGGACCCCTAGTTCTTCATAACTACCTAATGATCTGGGCTCAATTATTGTTCCCAATTTATAGATGAGCAAATTGAGACACTTTGAAATAAGGCATACTGGTAAGTGAAAGGTCCAAGATTCAAACCCATGTAGTCTGGCCTTACATGATTAATCATTTCATCTGCCTCAACAGACCATGCCCACCTCCTCCAACTCTAGGAGCCTTCTAGAGATTCCACAACTGAGCACTCTGTAGTTCCAGACTCTATACTAGGTACTGTGGGGAAAGCTACAAAGAAGAAATGAATAAAGTTCCTGCCTTTACAAAGTGACTGACCTGGAAAGAAAGATGGAAGTCTAGAGGCATCCATGCCCCTATGATAGGGAGGAAACAGATGAGAGAGAATGAAGCCAATACATCACCTGACTCAGAAAAGGGAGGTAGAAGAGAAAGACCCCTATTCCAGCCAACTGGGCCCTTCCTGGGGCTTGGTAATTTGGTTTCACCTTCAATTCTGTATTGTCCCTCTATTCTTCTAACTTAAACCTGACTTTTTTGCTTAAGCAAATTTAATTCAGGATTTTGATCCTTGTGACAGCTTTAAATAATAAAGGCAAGAAGTTCCTGAGTTCCAATTTGGAAAGGAGGGGACAGGCAAGGAAGATGGGTCAGAGGCAGAACTGAAAGAATATGGTCACCAATTTGATGAGTCATGTAAGTGAAGGGGTGTCCAAGGGGAAGTCCCAAGCTATAGGCTTGAAAGATTGGAGAGAGATGGTGGTGTCTTTAGCAGAAGTAGACAATTCAGAAAATAAACTGTATGGAGTGTAAGATGGGGGTGGAGGAAAGGAAAATGTAATCCTTCAGTTATTCTCTCATTCACTGAACAATTGTTTTTTCCAAGCCCTATCTAGACACTGGAGAATCAATAGTGGATAAGGTGAGCTCCGATTTGGATAGTATCTGTAGGCCATCATTGACTTAATTACTGAGCCAACAGTAAGCACCAACTATGGCCCATGCACTGTCTATAGAACTGAGCACAAATCCAGGCAGTGATGTCCAGCAGGCAGCTGGACCTGGCATTTCTGTTGGAAGCATCATCCCCAGAGAGATACTTTTGGAAGTTGTGGGAGAAAGCTCTCAGAGAAGTCTAGTTCTACAGGCCTTGTCTATCGAGCCTGGGCTTCATCCGTGAGCTGAGAACACAATGTTTCTTTGGCCTGTGTGGCTGAACGCAGGCACTGAAAGAACTTGGGTGTAGGAGTCCAATCTGGTGCCAGCCCGGATTTACACACCAGCCCATGAATGGCCCGAATGAGTTGGGCTTGCCTGTCAGAGTCTCGGTTCCCTCAGCTACAAAATGAGGGTATGAATGCTCATCTGAGAGCTGAGGGTAAGAAAGAATGTACAAGGCCATTCACTCAACCACAAATAGGGAGTGAACACCTACATGTACCAAGTTCTGGATAAAGGACTTAAACAGAAGCCAGTGTGAGGGGGTTCATCTGGCATCTGTGAAAGCTTTGGGGCTGCCATGGCTGGGTTTTGATTCACCTCAAATGGCTGATTCCTATGTACCCACCAGGAATCAATACCAATCTGCCCCTGCCCCAGCCTATAAAAAAAAGGGGATCTTTTGTATCGATGAGAGAAGAAAGAGAAAAATGCGGGTTTTGCTGTCCTCGGCAGAGTTTTCCTGAGCGGCAGAAAAAGGGCCCACGTGAACCATGCTGTTCTTGGCAGCCACTACTCCACTCCTCACAGCCAGAGGCTTAAAGCGTTATTTGTGGTTTAAGTTACAAGCAAGGGCGAAACCCCAGAAAAGGGGGGAGGAGGGGTGAAAACATTTTAAAAGTTGAGAAAATTGCCCTGTGTTCTCAAGTGCAGGCAATTTGTCCAAACACCTGAGCTCTGTAGAATCCTAGTGGTCTGCCTGTGGTTTTACATTCTGGGGCTCTGGGCCCAATGCTGGGGGTGGGGGACGTTTTTCATACATTAAGAAAATCACAAAATCACTTTTTATGAGATATTAATGAATAGCTTTACTGCTTCAATGGCGATATTGTTGGAGGTTTTGAAAAAAATCCAAGTCCGTGGTTGGGGGTGGTGTTGTTTTGAAGATTGCTGCATAAAGCATTTCACAGTCATTATAGGGGAGTCTGGGCATTGCTCCCCAGATCCCACAGCAGAGGACAATGAACATTTTAGGCATAGAAGAGCCTTTTAAGGCCTTCAAGTTAAGTCCAACCCTCTCCTTACATTGATGATAAAAACAAGGCCCAGAGAAGGTAAGAAATATGCCAAACATAGCACAGCATGTTTGTGGTAGAAGCGAGTCTAGACCCCAGGCTCCTGGACTCCCAGCAGCCTTTGAGGCAGCCCAGAGGTGACATTCCACCTCAGAAACCACGGCTGGCCTCCCCTTCGTGTTGACATTTCTGCGGCAGTGACTTTGAAAGCTGCCTTTTATGGTTCTGGCTTTGGAAGGGCAAACACTGCTATCAGTAAAATAACACAGGTGGCTTCTAGAGTTGGGTCCAGGTGGAGTGGGGCAGGAAGTGAGGCCCTGCGCATAGGCAGACATGACCCAATCACCTGTCTGGGTTCAGAAGGGTACACAGGCTTTCCTCGGGGAGTGGGACAAGAGGCCAGTGTGCTGGTGAAGGGCTTGGCTTTGCAGCAGACAAGATGGGCTCAAGTCCCCACGGCCTTACTTGCCAACTGTGCAACTTCCACAAGCTCCCTGACCGGGCTATGAAGCAGAGATCACCATCGCTCACTCCCATCAGCCATGTGTTATAATGACTAGTGTATTGGATAGCACAGGTACACGATTATCAAAGAAAGTTCTTTTGGTCGATGCTGGTAGGGGCGCTGGGCTGTTGACAGGGGTGCCTGGTGCTGGATCTCACCCTCCTGAGCCACCTGAAAACAGTTCTGGCCCAGGTGAGGTCTCCAGCTCTCAGGGCTCAGGCTCATGCGGAGACACCCAGGGCTCCAGGCTCCTCTCTCTTCCTTGGTCCTCTCTAATGCTGCAAGGATTTGGCTTCAGCTTGGGAACCTGGCTGAGCGCCTCTCCCGTGCTTGCTAGAGCAAAATCCCAGGGAGGAAGGAGGTGTGCAGCCAGAGGCAAATGGCTGGGAATACCTGAGGCAAATGCTGAATGTAGAGTGAGGAAAGCCTTGCATTCGAATCCTGGCTCACCCACTTGGTGTTAGTGGCCCTGGGTAAGTCAATGAAACTCTGCGCCTCAGTTTCCACATCGGTGCTCTCTCTGCCTGCCACATCATGAACCAGTGAGAGAATGAGTCAGTGAAGGTAAAAACACTTAGTAAATGAAGTACACACTTAGTAATACTTTGTAAAGAATGGGAAACTCCTAAAAGTAGGGGCTTACCTTCCTCTTGTTCAGCCTATTTCTTCACCAAAGGGGTATTTAGATAGAGGGATGCAGGCAGCTGCCTTTGAATCTTTGTAAATCCATGTTGTGCTATTTGGAAACATTCTCCGGAAGTCAGGAGATTAGGAGAAGCTGGTCTCCCAGAGACATCCTGGAGGAAGAGGGGCTGGGGAAGGAGAGAAAGGGGACACATTCTTTGAACACCTATAATGTACTAGTTACTGTGATAGTCACTTTCATACATGAAAAGAGATGGTGATGATGATGACAAACTTTATCAACAGGTACAGTTCTCAGTGCTTTATACATATTAACCCCATTTTGTAGATGAGGAAACTGAGACAAGAAAAGTTACAATAAGTCAGCAGGGTCACCCTAAGCTGAGGTTTGCATCCCAGCTGTGTGCCTCCTGGGGCCCTGCGTGTGACCATCACACAACCCTGCTCCCATAGTCTGCATCTTGTTGGAGTCTCCACACCTACCCCTTTCAGACAAGGAAACTGAGGCTCAGGGAAATTAGGCTCACACAGAGGAGGGAGAAGAGGTTCCTCCAGTTTTTTGTTTTATCTTCAAAAGTATTTCCTTCTTTGGCTATCTTTTTAAATGATAGAAGATATTATTCAATTTGAGTCTAAATCTAGCTTCCTATTACTTTCTTGCTTGAAACTTACTTTTTCCTTTGGGTCAGAAAGAAGAAATCTGCTGCCTCATCCATAGGGAAACCTCTGGGATACCCAAATCCCAGTCTCCCACTTCTCCCTTCTGTTCCTCAGGAAAAAGCAATACAGATCTGTCAGCCTAGACAAGGAGGACATCATAACCCCCTTCTGTGTTCTGGTTCTGAGCTTTAGGACAAGTTCTGGTTTGACTATGACAATCTGAAAATGTGGAACTAGAATTTAACCCCACATTCCAGCTCTAGTCTGACTTCAGAGGAAATGCAATGTCACCTTATGTTTTGACACTATGCTCCCAGTGATAAATCCCAAGTTCACATTATCTCTTTTGGCAGCCACTTCCGCATTGCTGACTCACAACTCCCTCATGTCCTGATTTCCTGTTCATTATCCTTTCTTCTACTTGGCCTGATTTCTTAAGATCTCTCTGGTTACATTACACTGAGATGCTTGAAGAATCCCTTTAGCAAGTAACTTGGAGAAGCCCTCAGATTTGGGGCTAGTTAATCCACATCCTCAAATGAAGGCCTTCAAAATCTCAAAGATAGTTGGATCCAGAGGGGACTGGAAAAGGCTCTCTGACCCCAGGGGAGCCAGCAGACAGAGGGCTATTTCATCAAGAGTCAGATCCATAAGTGACTGGAAGACACTCCTTCTAGAGGAGCAAATGCTGCTGCCATCTTGTCACTTTCAGAAGAGCTTGGGAGCCACAGTCCATTCATACTTCAGAGTAGTGATTGGTCGTAGAGGCTGGAACCCAACAAGCTTGGACTCAAAGCCACTTACCAACTTTATGACTTCAGGCCAAGGACAACATCTCTAAGCCTCAATTTCTCTCTGTAAAACTGAGGCCATAATGGTACCCCATCATGATGTTGACAGAGTGAAAAAAAACAAAAACAAAAACATGGGTAAATGACTTACCCCAGGGCCTTGGTCCATGGTGGGAGCTCAGCTTTTGTGATGACTTCTTCAAGCCTGTGTTCTCTCATTCCAGCATTTCTTCAGCAAGTATTCACCGAGAGTGGGCAGGGGCAGCTGGGTGCTACAGAGGGAAAATGCAGATGCTAACAAAAGCCTGAGAGCAAGCTCAGCTCTGGAAGCTAAAGATTCTTCCAGGGAACTAGCTAAATGCTCTACAAAAAACTCTCTGGTTCTGGGTTTGGACTGCTGGCCACAACACCCACTTCACACCCCCCCTACACACACACACACACACACACACACACACCCCTTCTCCTGGGCCATTTCTGAGTTTGAAGCTTCTCAGATTACTCTCAATGTGACCTTCCACAAATCCCATAACTCATAGCCTCTGGCACATTTCTTATAAAACAGATAGTAATACCCACAGAGCTGAGTTTTTGTAGTAGATTAAACAGTGACATATGTAAAGTGACCAGCCAAGCCCTAATTTGGCCAATGCTCCATAACTTTTAGCTGCATTTCCCCACCACTCCCTCTGCCTGCCAGTCCTCTACTATCATATGCCAATCTTGGGCTAGATGCTGGTGGCCAAGAGGTTAATGAGAAGTCACATAGAGAGTGTAAAGTTTTGGGGGGATAAACATTTCAATCTGTAACCCAAATAGAAAAGTGCTACGGACTCTGATGGACTTATGTCCAAGGCAATGTGGGAACACCAGGAAGGTCAAATCACTTGGCCTGGCCTGCCCTCAGTTGCCGCATCTGTCAAAGGGGTGCAATTTGTTTCTATCTCACATGAGATGACTCAGTGAGTTAGTAAATGTGAAACTATATTGGAAAGTTGAGTTCTGTTCTCTATTTATTTATCTGGTTCCTCATTATACTTGAATCCACTGAGGGAGGCCTATCCCCAGCACATTAGTACAGAGCAGGTCCACAGTGGATGAGTGAACTGATATAAGAATTTATGATTTAATCTTATCCCTGCAGACCCCAAGAGGTTTCCCTATTTTATAGGTGGAGAGAAATCAGAGCACAGAGTTCAAAGAGTTGCCTGGCAACCAGTAACTGAGCCAGGCACCTTCAGACCTGCTCTGATGACCTTTCCACTAGATTCCACCACACAGGCCACTCTGGCTGGGGTGGGGAGCCACTGCTCGGGTGGACATGATTAACCTTTCTCCGTAGGTCACTGAGCCAACCCACCAGCCTCTCACGCTGAGTCATGGACTGAGGTGGACCTGAGACCTGAGGAGAAAGCAGAGCTGCCCTGTTGAATAGGTGTGCCAGGGATTCCCTCAGGCCATCACATCGCCTAGGAAATCCCTCATGCAGGGTGAAGATGGGGCAAGTACAGAGACGTCATGCTAGGTCCACTCCCCTCTTTCACAAGAGCATCTGAAGGACAACACCTAACTGTCCCCAGTGGGCCGTCACTCAGAGGCATCCCTTCCTCCCCACTCCCAGTGCTAACACCCTAACATCCATCCTACCATCTTTTGTCTTGACTGGGCTCCCAGCTCCACTCTATTAACCTAAGAACTTGAGTGGCCTGCTATAGTCACACATTATAACTATGACATGCTTATGTTCAAAAAAATCTTTAACAGCTCCCTAATACATAGGGAATAAAGTCAGTGTGGCCTTCAAGGCCCTCCTGATTACACCTCATGCTTCTCACATACTCTTAGGTTCTCTATAGAGGAGATTAATACACACTGAGGGAAAACAACTAACTGCTCGTCAAAGACCCAATTTCTAAACCAAGGGCTTTCTCTGAGGGAAGGTCCAGTTGTGTGATTTTGAGAAAATGAGTAACCCTCCCTAAGTCATATGACCTTGGGCAAGTCATTTTACCACTGAAGCCCATTCTCTATCAGTTAAATGGAGATAAGAATACTATCATATCCACCTCACAGGATTGCTGGGTGGCTTAACAGACATTGTGAAAAACATAACAAAATAATTTTGACAATATGCTTTATTTACCCATTCTATCCAAAATATTATCAATTCAACACCTACTCAATTGACATGGCTAATGAGACATTCTATTCTTCATACTAAGACTTTGAAATCCAGTGTGTGTTTCATATTCATAACACATCTCAATCCAAACCAGGCACGTTTCAAGTGTTGAATAACCACAGGCGGCTGGTGGCTACTCAGGTAGACAGTGCAGGTTGGGACTCATGTAAGTGCCCTTGCTGGGTGCTCCCCTGACACCTGTACTTACAAGGGAAGAAATAACCCTTCCCATGGCAAGCATTTCTACTTGACTTACCTGCAAGCAATTCCCGTAAGGAGAGGGAATGAGTGGTATCCCCAGGGCCTGACATAGTACCTAGCACAGAGCAGACACTTAATAAATACTTGTTAAACAAATATTATTCAGTTCTCTACCCCCAATACCCAGCCCAGTGCTTGACCCTCAGTAGGCATTTAATAAAGACTTATTAAATTAATGAAGTAACGACTCGGTATTTTAATGGTAAGTGAGTTTGTGATTTGCCAGCAGGTGAAAACCAGGCAGTTTATTGCAGGGGAGACAATGGTACCTTTCTAGCCCTGAAGGTAACACCTGCCATTAAGTCAAGTTTCCTTCACCACCTCCTTCCCCCAAAACAAAACTGGAGCCAGATGGGAAGCTGTGGGCCTGCACATTCGGGAGAGATCCCCCAATGCCTGGCCTACAGTGATAGGCAAGCATATCAAGTTCCCATAAAGAAATAAAGTTAACTCCCAAAGAAGGCCTAATTGCTCTCTCTCACTTTATTCATTTTCTTTCAAGATCAATTCAGCAATGCACAAGATGAGAGGCTCCAAAAACCTGCCAGGCACTGTGCAACAGAAATCTAGTAAGAAAACTTTACATTAGGTCAGCAATAATCACAACGATGGGGCATTTCAGCCTCGGCATCTCTGCTCACAAACTTGATGACCTGAAGCAACCTGTGTCCCTCCCATGAGCATGAACTTGCCCGTGTGCAGGCTGGGAGTGACGGCACAGACGTCTGGCCAGGCCTTTGCGAGGACTCTGTAAGAGCAGAGTTCCCAGGCACACACCCATGCTCAGTGACTGCTCACTTGCATTGTTCCCTCACTGAACCTGCAGGCTCTCCCCAGTTTGCAAAATGAGCCTTCGTATTATTTTTGTCTTGAGGTCAGCCATAGGCTGGATGATTTTCTTAGAGTTGTGGAGAGCTTTCTTTCCCCTCCTTGTGGACAACTCACACAAACACTATTTGGAAAGATCTGGGCGCGTCGTCTCTCTGGAGTCTGGTGGCAGGCCAGGAGGCTGGTCACAAAGGCTGCATTCAGCCACAAACAGCAGCCTGATGGGCAGGGGCCATGTCCCAAACATTCTTGACTAGGCATGGGGGTGGGGAGGGAGGTGTTACCGGCCTCCAAATATTTGTTGCTCTATCGCCATAGCAACTGCAGTGGCCATAGTGAAACCTTGAAACTGCACATCGAAACTTGGGAGGTGCTGCAAAGTCAGGCCTGATTGGGAGAAGGCTTTCCCCTGGACTTCCCCTCTGCTCTCTCTCTGAGCAGCTTTCCAGCTCCTTTCAAAGGGCACTAAAGACAAGCTATTATGCTGGCTGCACACAGTCTGATGCCTGCTGTAACGAAAGATGTTTGTGCAGAGACTGTACCAAATTCCCAGGACAGCTTTTAAGAGACTTACATCAGATGGAGTGGCCTGGGACAGTGACACTACCTACTTACTCGTGTGACCTTGGGCAAGTCACTTACAGTCACGGAGCCCTTTCCAGGGGTGGAGGGTGGGTGTGAGGGTGGGGGGTCAAGCCCAATTCCCAGTTCAGTCAACTCTTACTGACATCTACCTTGGGCTACTGCAAAGCTTAAAACACATGGCTATTGTTCTTGGGGAGCTCATAGAACCTACCAGGCAGAGCTGTGTTAAATAGCAGGTTGCATCACACCAGGCGCCCACTGCCCAGCCCCCAGTGGGGACCAGACATATTATAAAAGTTGATTTCCCTTCCTTCTCCATACTGGGCTACTCCAAAGATAGCCTTGAAAGATTAACAAGAGCCCAGCTACTTTCATAACATTCTTCTCACATCCAAGGTAAACTTACCAGTCTGAACATAACTGGGAATGAACTGAACTTTTATCGATTTTATACATTTTGTCTTCATTACAACATGCTTTCACAACCCATCTCTCTTTTTTTAAATATTTTTATTGATTTTTTCACAGAGGAAGGGAGAGGGATAGAGAGTTAGAAACATCGATGAGAGACAAACATCGATCAGCTGCCTCCTGCACACCCCCCACTGGCGATGTGCCTGCAACCAAGGTACATGCCCTTGACCAGAATCGAATCTGGGACCCTTTAGTCTCCAGGCCAACGCTCTATCCACTGAGCCAAACCGGTCAGGGCACAACCCATATCTCATTGGACTTTCATAACTATCTGTTGGATTTGGAAGGGCAAGAATTGTTTTTCACTCTAGAGTGAAGGCACTAAGGCACAAAGGCAAAGTGATTTGCGAGACCACAAAGGGAATTAGGGGCAGAGAAGGACTTCAAACACATATTTCCCAAATTATTATTTTAATAAATATTTCTTGAGCAGCTACCAGGTGCCAACATTGTTCTAGAATCTAGACACTGAGGTTAAAGCAGTGAACAAAACAAATTTCTGTTAAAGAGCTTAAGTTCTAGAGGAGAGAAGATGACTATTAATAATCACATAAATACATATTATATCAGGTAGAAATAAGCAATATGGAGAAAAAATAAGCAGAGTAAAGAAAGCAGTGGTACAGGCTACTATTTTCTATAGAGCCTTCTGGTGAGTTCTTTCCAAAGAGACCAAAAGAACTGAGGAGCTGGCTCTGTGGATACCATCATGAGAGAGTATCTCGGCAGGAAGAAGAGCGAGGCTCAAGGCCCCAAGGTAGGGACATGTTGGCATGTTTGTGGAACAGCCAGAAGACCAGTGCAGCTAGGCAGAGAGGGGTGGGGATGAGGCCAAAGGTGTGAGGGCCTCTTAGGAGGTGGAATGACCTTTGGGTTTCAACCTGACTGAGAATGAAGCCATTGGAGGGCTTTGGACAAAGGAGTGACATGATGTGACCTGCCATGCTAAAAATTCCCTTTGGTACCCACATAGGCCACAGTCTGAAAAATGGCAAGGATGGACAGGGAGAGCAGCGATTGCAATGGTCCAGGCAGGAAACAAATGGTTGCTCAGGGAGAGTGGTAGTGGGGAGCTGGTGATGAGGGGTGGATTTTGGATCCATTTCTCAGAAAAGAGGTAACAGGATGGCTGATGGTTAAAGAAGAGTCAATGATGGGGGGAAAAAAGAGTCAATGATGCTCCTTGGCCTCTGGACTGAGTAACTAGAAGCATAAAGTTGCCATGTCCAGAGATGGGAAACCCGGGGGAAGGAGCACACTGAGGGATAATAATGAAGAGTTTTGTTTTAAATATGGTACATTTGAGGTACACATTGGAGCTCCAAAAGGAAAGCCAGAGAAGGTGAAGAGAGGCAAGCTAGACATATACATTTACCATTCTTTGGAGCACATTATTTAAAGCCACTGGCATGGATAACATCCCCGAGGGAATGAGTGCGGATAGAGGAGAGGGCCAACCTTTGAACATTCTAATGGATGGAGCTAATAAAGAGGACCAGCCATCAGCAATGCAGGAGGGGCCTGTCAGGGTGCACACCTGCCCTGGCAGGTTAGTGAAGGAAGAGCTTCAAGAAAGGAGTGACCCTTAGGGTCAGACTAGTGATAGATTAAGGCGAGGACTGAGAGTTGACCTGATTTGGCCAAGAGGGGTCCTTCACCACCTTCACAATCTCTATTACAGTGAAGTGGTAAGGGCAAAAGCCCGAATAACTGGGTTCAAGAGAGAATGGGGGAGAGAAAGTGGTGACTGCAAGTAGGTTCAAGTCTTTGGAGAGTTTGTCTGGAAAGAGGAACAGAGAAATGAGGAGAAATGGGGGATCAATGGACGGTCCCTTCCTTCCTTCCCTCCCTCCTTCCTTCCTTCCTTTCTTTCTTTTTGGAGTTTCTTTTAAAATATGATTGACTTCACAGCATGATTGTGTACTGATGGGATGGGCTACTGGAGAGGGATGGATTGATGGGCAGGAGAGAGAGGAGCTTTTCTAGGAGCTGTGCTCTTGGATAAGAGAGCGATGGGATCAATTTCAATCCCTGATGTGTCTTCCACTATAACATGACCCCCAATTAATAAAATTATACATTTGGGGATGATTTTAAAATGCTTTTCAAATGTAAACATTTCTTTCAATTACATAGAGTAAGTTTACCAGGAGGTGGTAAAAATATTGCCCAATGATTCTTGGAGAGCCTGCCTTGGTAGCACAATGTGTTAGCCACTCCTCCTGCTGCTTTCCCTAACGTGTGTACACGTCTCTAACTGCAGGTTATTTACCAGGCAGGCTCCCATGGTAGGAGTGAACTCCTCACGGGCAAGGACTGTGCTCTGTTCCTTTCTGCAGCCCCATGGCTAACAAATGACTGGCATGTGTGTATTCGCCAATCACTTAGGAAAGTAACGAGAAGGAGTAAAAAGAAAGAAGGTGAGAACTGCATATTCCTGCTCTAATAAAACTCTCACCTTTCAAATGAGGCATGAACTTGATATTATTTTATAAATATACCTTCCTGACAGCATGGTGAGTAAACAAGTGCTTTCTTTTCTTTTTAATCTGTGAAAGGCAAAGGAAAGGATTTATTGAGTAACCGACAGGAGTAGGAAAAAAGCTTTATTTTGCACACACAGTCATTAGCTCTACTATTGAGTTAAATAGTCATGTAATGGGATGGGATTCCTCATTCAGTAGTGAGCTTCCCATCAGTGGAGGTACATAAATAGAGACTAGATAATGCCTGTGGGAAATCCCGGCATCTAATGGTCATCAGGCTTTGTCACCTATGGTCCAATTCAACCCTGGGAGTCAATGAGTCCAAGTTATATTATTCTACAATTCATCATCAAAATATAAGCACATAGAATTTCTATATCAGGAGGCACAATAGCATAGTACTTAAACACATAAATTGTGAAGTCAGGCTGCCAGGCACAAAATCTGGCTCTGCTACTACCATACAATGTGCCTCATAGTTTGGAAATTCATGAATGAGCTTCCTTAGCTACAAAAACGAGAATAATAAAGGGATATGCCTCACTCAAAATCCATCTAATGTGCTTAGAACATCATCTAACACATAGTAAGTGCTCAGTAAATTGTTAGCTATTATTTATTCCGTTTATCCATCTCTTACAGACTGCACACACAGTGTCCTAGGACCTGTGGGTGTCTGTTA